ACCCCGTAATTGCTCTCAAAAATCATCATGAAAGCATAAAATTTTGCGTAAAGTAGCCAGAAAGTTCATTCAGAATGGGAATTCCTCCTGGAGACTGAAAATTTTCAACAAACGATAGCAGGCGCTACGGGTGAATGTTGATTGGAGATAAGTTAAGGTTTACCGTGGCGTAAAGTGTCGGATAAGAACGAAGTGCTGAAAGTGAAAGAAGAGTGTCGTACAAAGCTGCGTGATAAATTACTGCATACGGTGAAGTGCAAAGACGAGTTCGGTAAAATAATGGACTACGTTGATTCACTGCATTACGAAGATCGTGTTGATTATTCGTACGTTTATGAAATGCTCAAAACGGTTCGTATTCAATTCATACATCAGTCAACACCATCAATTAGCACGTTCTTGGGTGCCTTTTAACGTTCTTCTGAACAAAGTCCTGGACATTCATACGTTCTTTCTTCGTCCCATTCCTAGGCTGCCTCAGCTGTCTGCATTGGATTCATTCTTGGACCTCTTTTGAAATTTCCGATTTCTCACCAATGTTACATTTTCCGGTTTATATGCAATAGAGCATTGTTCATATATGCAGTTTGGACTCTCATTCTTTTCTAAAGTATCATTTTTCTGAGAACTGGGAAATGTATAAAAGATAGAATAATTGCAGGCCGCTATCGTATGTGATGTAAGGTTAACAGATCCGTATGACTGGGAGGAAAAAAGCAAATAATTACTGAGAGGCACCAGCAACTGTACAAAGAAGAAGAAGAGGAGTGAAAAATCAAAATCGAACAATCGCTCAAAATATTTTTCATGATCATCTGCAATGTCCTCTCTGAATCCTTTTAGTTATTCTAATATATAACACCCGGCATTTTGATCCTTTTTGCGTGCATTCCATTGCAACCACATTAAGTTTTAACCATTGACTTTCACTGATTGGCTCAACAACAATTGGAGGTCCTTCCCTCTCTGCGTATTTTGACAATTGTATTAAAATCTTGTGAGAAAAACTAAGAAGACCATAATATGCGTGAAGAATTCTCGAATAAAACAATTGAACATTGATTGAAACGTTGTCCA